TTGAACAATTATATCCTCAACGAAATTAACTAAACACTAAGTTAAAATCACGGTTATGTGATTCACTGATCATTTCAAGGATATCTTACTGTGACGCTGTGTAAGACGCGCATTGTTGCACGGAGATACGATCAAGCTGCAGCGACTTCAAAATTCTTGTTTCCGTTATTGTCTTGCTATTAGAAAATATGATCACATCAGTCATGTTCATAAGGAAAATGAAAAATTGAATCTAGAAAATCTCGCAAACTGTCATCCATCATACCTTATTTTAAAAAAACAGAGTACACGCTCAATAAATTACAAAAATTTTAAATAGTAAAACACTCGTTATACCTCACCATATTATACAAGAAGAGCTTTTCATACACTGCAGCCAAACATTACAACAATCTATCAACTGAGTATCGTAATTACTGTCTAATGAATTTGAATAAAAAATTGAAAGCAATGCTTCTACTATCCACCTCTTCTACCTGATAATAATAAGATCAATTTTGAAAAACTCATAATAAGACTATAACTATACGATTTTTCGAGTCATACGGTATTATGACTTTGTAGAAATAGAATAGAACAATGCTTTATTTGTGTGAGCCTGTAAATAGGATACAAAACGTCAAAATAAAAAGAAAAGATGACATGATCGAATTAGTATACAGAAATAGAAAAATAACGTATTACTCGCACAAAAATTCATTGCTACTATAAAATGCGTTATTTAGTAAGAGGTTCCGATGTTTACTTTTGAACAAAGATAAGCTGGTAATTTGCTTAACATCTAAAGGCAATTTGTTATACATGGCACTACATAAATACGTCGGACTCTCTTTATAAGCACTAAGGTTAAAATTTAGAATATGAATATGGGTATTATTTCTAGTATTGTAGGCATGTATTTCACTGCGCTGGGGGAATAAATCTGTGTGTTCTTTAACAAACAAGTATGTCTCGTAGATCAAGAATGACGGTGACGTTAAAATTTTATTATCTTTAAATACAGGTCTACAGCTGTCCAGTGGGTTGAGACCAAATATTGATCTAATTAGCCTCTTTTCCATCTCTGTATGCCACAAGAAATGCCCCAATCTATAACCAACTACTTCATGTGACAGTACGCCATTGCAAAATAAGTATTAAGGAGTCACCTACGACTAACTAGACCCAGCAGGTTTCTTAATGCAAAGTATGCCGAGTTAAGCTTACCAGCCACATACTCTGTGTGTGTGTTTCCCAGGAAAGTGTTTCGTCCATGTAGAGACCCAGAAACTTGTTGCTTTCCACCGTATTTAATAACTTGAAATTTAAACATGTATACTTGTATAGACTTGAACACAATTAGGCGATTGTCACAAATCTTATTACTTCACCTTTGTACGACTCTCTTCTTTTTGATGATTGTCATTTTTTTTACCTGAGTTGAAAAATATCTTAAGTTAACACTCCGCCATTTAATTTCAAATTTCAGTACCTCATTATACTCAAAATAAAAATCTATTTGTAACAGACTCGAACAAAGTCACGCTATTATCCCAACTAACAATTATCACTCATATTAGAGTTGCAAGAATGATTACACAGTATTCCTTAAACAGCATTGACTGTAAGAACATTGGCAAAACCCTCTTAGAACAGCTATACAAGCGGAATGGGCACACCTAGAAGGACACTTCAGTCATTTAAGAGGTTAAATAAGGGCTGCAGGTAACAGTTATAAAACAAAAGTGTAAGCCTCTTGCAGCCGCTATAGGACATTTGCGTCAGTGCAAGATTCAGTTTTTGTCAACTATGCAACTATTCTGTTACGTGATGCTACTTTATTGCAAAAAAACTATTTCTTATGTATTGTATAGACGAAGTGAAGAATATATAACGAACACATTACAGTCATCTTGTTTACTTATATATCGGCCATTGTGAATTTCATACACAGGTATCTGATAAAGTTCTACACTGTGATATAGGGCTATTGAATTACTTGCGCAGCAAATTTTATTGTGATTATCGTGCAGATTAGTTACCCAATTTGTACGGGCTTCGTATTTGATTCATATTTTGACAATGATCAAAAGTATGTCTAGATTTTTAAGATGGAAAACTGAACTTATCTGCGTTAAATCTTCCATAAATCCTATACTTTATATGTGTAATTTCGAACTGGAACATAATTATTTATGGAATAAATGTTTGCCCAATATGGCATCGTCCATGTTGTCTTTAGGTTATTAGAATATGTTGGTGTTGCCTGCAGGTGTTATACAGCAATTTGACAAATGTCTGAAATGAAATACCGACAGAGTCGAATGATTTACCCAGAATTTGTACCGGATCAATATCTTCTGTTTGAACAGTTGATAAAACCTTTTAACCAATATGCATGCGTTGTTTGTCTTAAAACATTGATTATGGCATTTTACAAAAATATGACAGCAGAAAGTTAGGTTATGGTGAAGTTGTTTACGAACATATTTAGCATATGTACAGCCTTAAACAGTTACTAAACAACAGTTGTATAAGTGCTTCCGTTGGGAGCAATTTGTTGGCTAAAGTAGTAAATTGCACAGCAAAACAACAAGGCTCGGGTTTGTTTTATAAACGTTACCATGGATGCCACAACATAACATAACGATTTTGATTAACGTGCAAATAAGCCGTATAAAATAGTTGTATAAACGTTTACGCAACAGTTAAAAATTTGCCCTATAAGGTGTTGTATAACTATGCTATAAGAATATTTTAAACACTTCATTTTAGAGCAAATATGTTGCAGAAAGCAAATCTGCATTCCACACAACATTAAGCCAGCATTTTGGTGTTCAGGCAACAACAATAGAGAGCTGTTATGGCTGAACGGTTCTTTTACCAAAAGATTATACCACTACTTTGCTAGTTGGAATTATTTTCATTACGTATGAACTGTGAAAGTGGCGATGGCTTTCACATTGACGCCTTGTAGCTGGATAATAATGAGATGAAAGAAGGACTAAAGACAAAGGGCAAACATCCTAATCGGGATGTACGTCCCTGCGTTCCAGCTTGTCCGTTCGTCTCCGTCTCCATCTCCTTCGCAACGGCGCGGCTGTGCCGGCCGGCGATCTCGGGGAAGACCCGCCACTCACCCCCCGCCTTGCCCCCATCCTCCTCCAACCCCTTAGCGCCCCGTTGGCCGTGGAATAATTTATTTGCGGCGGCCGCGGACGCGGCGCGAATCCCCGAAGGGTTGCGATTGATCGATGGCCGCACCGACCGACCGACAGACACACAGGATCGCCAACGCTCCTCTTCCTCCTGCTGATCCACCACCGGAAATACCTCCTGCAAAAACAACGACAGGACTCCTCGGAGACAAAGGAGATTACTGCCGGTGGTAGTTGTAGGTTGTAGTATTAGCACTGCTCAGCATATTCAATATTAACAGGTATCGCATTTCAACTTCCTCTTGACATGAATTTTGAAAAAAGGAGACAAGACTCAGTAGTCGTATGTCTATTCAGATAAATGCATATACGTCATGAGTTCATAAAGAATTAAGCTCAACGCAATTTAAATCCTCTGAGAAAAAAGTCAGTCACAAAGAAATTAAACGGATTATGTCTGGCAAATAGGCCCATAGTCATACTTTCCCTGTCCTACTGGTAGTAACTGTCCATTTGGCAACGTTGTCCCTTTCCGTATCTGCGCGGCATCGCTGCAGCGAGTTATCGTTCATTTTGTACGTGGTCCGTTACTTTACACTGCAGTACGGATAGATTAATCAGCCGGACCGGTTCGCCGGGCGGTGAGCTTAGGTGGCAGGAGTACGCGAACCGAAAACATTTCTCTATCGTCAATTTTAAAGACAAATATAATAAGATATGGTTAATAGGTGCATAGGGATTACCGGGACTGGAAAAGTATAAATATACTATAATCAAAATATTTGTACAAGCCCTTCCCCACTTCTATAACCCCCAACCCCTGAATTTCAACCCTTACAAAAAATGTTAAGGAAATGATCTTGAACGTCAAAAAACGAAGTTTGAGTGATTCTTATTTCTTTTTGCGTTTTTTTGCTTTCCGGCACCACTAGACCGATTTTCAAAAGCTACAAGTACTTTTCGTCTTTCGCAAAGGAGCTTGTGTGAAAATTTCATCAAAATCCGAGCTATACTTCTCAAGTTATAGACGGGCCAAGGATTAGCGGACAAACAGACAGACCAACGGAAATGAGTGACATAGTTTCTCCTGATGTATGTACATGTCACGTAACATCCAAAAAACACAATATCTCATCTTCAAAATTTTTCGAGAATACAATAATTCCTCGCCCAGAGGAGTAGGAATTAAAAAAGACGTCAAGTAGGTTGACCACGCACTTTCATAAGCAACGCTGTTCGTAAAGGATTACCCCTCTGCGAAATAAGTTTGCTACGAACATGTGTAGCAAATGAATTAAATGGAACAAGACAGTCAAGCAGGCTATACAATTAGAATTTACATCTTTAAAATAGTGTACAGTTTTGGGAATTTTCAGAATTTGACACCCCTACCCTTTAGAAAATTTGCTATCCCCCGTTTTTCAAAAAGTTTGGAAGGCAAAAAGCTGTCATTCTTGCCGATGAAGGCACCCCCTCCCCTTGAGAAAAAATTCTTCGGGCGTCCATAAACATTGCTGAGACTAACCTCGCCGTTCGTCACCAACTGCAGCTGCTACTGACTGCGAAACACAGACATCCTTCAGTCGGAAGAAATGCATGTATATCCAGAGTCACGTCTGTTGAAAATATTTCTCTCATTTTGAGTTTTATGGCAAGTGTATGGGGAAATTTGTGATTTGTGAATTATGTCTAATAGGTGCATAGAATTATCGGGGTTGGAAGCATATAAATAAACAGATGTCAGGAAACTGAGATATACAGTGTGAGTCTTCATAAAGTGCACATATCAAAATCAGGGAAACTACACTCTATTTCATCGACGGATAAATCATCAAAAAAACATGAATTTGATTTTTTATGAATATTTTTTTTTTTTTATACTCCAACTACCACGAAGGCCTAAGGCCTAAGCACCCATTGGGTACCGTGAGGCTATAGGGGGATACATGGGAAAAGGGGGGACGCCACACGGACTCTGGCGAGGGAACACGTGTGCATGCAACATGCACACATTCTGGCTCCGCCTACGAGAACCGCCGGGTGGTACCTCCGCGTTCGACAGTCAGTGACCATCTACCACCTACGGACAATCACAACATCCATAGCCAAGAAAAAAATTTCTCCTGGGACGGGACTCGAACCCGCACAGCGCACGGCGACTGATCAGGAGACCGAAAAGTCTACTACTGCGGCCACCGCTGCTGCCTAAAACAAACACACAACATCCATGGCGAAGACGAGATTCGAACTCGCGGCCCGGCCGGCCGGCTGATCAGTAGCACGACACTCTGACCCACGCGGCCAACCGAGGCCCCCACTGATGTCAGGAAACTGAGATATACAGTGTGAGTCTTCATAAAGTGCACATATCAAAATCAGGGAAACTGCACTCTATTTCATCGACGGATAAATCATCAAAAAAACATGAATTTGATTTTTTATGAATATATGAATATTTTAAAATTTTTAGTAGCAGCTTCTAACCATATTGAAATAACTCGTTACAACTTTTAATCTAAATGTCCTATCATACTGGAATACATTTTGCAGTGATTGCTGGTAAAAGGACGTGCCCGAAAAGTGAAGAATTCCAGGAAAAGTAATGACATCCATTTAGAATAAAGAAAATTTTGATGAAAATCTGTTTTTTTTTTCATCATTTTTACAATAATTTCAAATTTTCTATAAATATCGACCCTTGTACCCTACCTTTTTTTATTTGTAAGTTATTCTACATGTTATCAGCTTTATAAAAGTAAAAATTGCACTCAAATGTAACAGTTTCTATGAGTGTTTATAAAAAAGCCCATGCGCATCGTCTTGCTAGGCACCATTGGCGCGTTCTCACACCTCTCGACTATTTTTTATGGGGGATAATGAAACAAAGGGTGCACAACAGTTCCATAAACAGCGAAGCGGAACTTGAAGAAAGAGTTTTGCGTGTTGCAAACGAAATCAAAAATGATCCCGAGATGATTCGTAGGGCAACTCATCAAATTTCACTTCGCGCTACAATGTGTTTGCAGCAACGGGGTGATCATTTTGAACATTTGACGCATTGAGCCAAAATGATTATCCTATAGACAAGTCTATTTGATTTTATTTGTTAAAGATAATGAATGATTCATGTAGGTTAATACTGCTGTTTTATTTCTACTCTGGCGTTGAACTGAGTTCACTGATTTTTGAAACGTTGATTTAAAAACTTGTATCTAAGTTATAAACTTGCAATTTTTCACCATTAGGAAGCTAATAACATGTAGAATAACTTGACATTTAAAAAAGGTAGGGTAAATTGGACAATTTTTATTGAAATTTAGCAATTGTTTTAAAAATCATTGAAAAAATAGTGAGTTTCAGCATATTCCTCTTTATTTCAAATTTATAGCATTTAATTTCGTAGAAATTTTCACTTTACTGGTACGGCCTATTATTTGCAATCACTACAAAATTTATTCCAATATGATAGGACATTCAGTTTAGAAGTTGTAACGATTTATTTAAATAGGATTAGCAGCTGACTCTAAAAATTTTAAAATATTCATAAAAAATCAATTATTGTTTTTAATTTTTTTTGATAATTTTTCCGTCAATAAAATAAGGTGTAGTTTCCTTGATTTTGCTATGTGCACTTTATGAAGACTCACACTGTATCCTCCCCTAGTCTCTACAATCCTCAACCGTCATTTCTTAACCCCATACAATCTACTAAAAATTATTAGGAGCCTCTGAAACGTTAAAGTAGTTTGAGAAAAATCTATCCAATGAAAAAATGCAGGAAATTAATAATTTGTTGGACCCCCACGATGTTTTATGCAATCAAAAATACGTCTAATTAGATGATAGATTTCCTCTTGAGGTATTTCATCCCAGGTCACTTGTACCTCGCCGCTGGAGTCTGCGAAGGATGAAATAAACGGAGTAATATTCTTCTCATAATATGCCAGTCGTGTTCAATTGGTGAAATATCAAGAAGTCTATGGGCCAATGCAACAAAACAATTCGGTTGGCCTTGTAGACGAGGAGTGGCGGTCTCATACATCTAACTCTTCGTGAATTTAGATTTGTATGCATCATAGTGGCTATTTCTCTGAAGGACCAACCAGCCTCACACAAGCCCCTATCAAATTCGCTAAGCTGTTGAAATTTTTCTCATCTCCTTGCTCTAGGCTACAGGTTGAAACAGCTGCTTATAGCGTATTGTATGATGACTGAATACCAGTTGCAGCTACAAAACACGGCTATCGCTTACTTACTTTTTTGTAGGAACAGGCGATATCACAAAAACCACTTCTTTCAAATTGACTCGATTTTTTCCTGGGATAAACAAACATATACTTAGAAAATCTTTGTAATAAATGCATTCTTATTTCTATGTCACCAAGTATATCTTTGCAGTATTCGTTTTTTTCCAACAATTAATATCCTAATAGTACTGAGCAGTCATCTACAGTGACAGATATCAACGTAACACCATATCTGATATTCAGAAATGCCTGTTTGAAAAGAACCGAGTATCTGCATTGTATAGACAGACACAGTAACTTGTCTCGAGAGAAAAACCAATACCAAAAAAGAAAAAGTCGTGATCATGGGTTCGACCTTCGGAAAAATCAGACATTTGTATGTTGATAACATTTTTGGTAACCATATAGCCGGGCAACTCTATACTAAAAATACTGCTGCGTGCTGCTGGGCTACTTTATAGGAGCTAGATAATGCAATAAAAATAATGCCCGTTTAGAGACTCCATAAGGATGTACATAAATATATAGGAATGTTGTTCCTGAGACTAATCGTTTTTATATCAGCATTGCGAAAAACAAGTATCAATTTGCGTTGCAGGAATTGATCGATACGAATACGCGAACCTGATGCATAAAATAAATCGAACGATAACTTATGGAAAAATAAACAATAATTGTGTACACCTATAGCTTTAAGTGAAATCGTCAACACGGTGGAGGTTTGAATCATTATCAGTGCGACGCGCACCGTTCTGAAGCGGTGTATGTTATGATCCAGTTACTTTGGAACTTTCGACTTTTGACAATTTTCATAGAATATATGACCTGATCAGATCACAGTGAAAAGTTAGCAGATTAGCCTGACGCTATTTCGACCTATAAGGATCTATTGTAGCATTCCATAATAGTTTTTCGATTTTGGAGTTGTGATCATTGGCGCCCGCAGAAATCTTTCTGGCGGGGTGCCGATCGTAGGCCAGAGATAACTTTTTGTCAAATTGTACCTGCTTCTAAAACTTTTCAAAGGGTAAGGATAGCAAATTTTCCCTTGATCCTAAAAATCACAAAAATTCGGCATAAAATTATGCTAAATATGTACGCAAATGGGGGCCAACTGTCGCCCATGATTGTGACTGTGATAACTTTAACCTCTCCATGCCCTTGCAGTGACATATAAGGTGCATCCATGCTAATTCTAATCAGAATTGTATAATAATAAAATAATAAGCATATACTCGTGTTCACCAACAGGATACTCCAGTTACAAAGCAATGAGAATTAAAAAACCAATTCATATACTATATTTACCAGAAAATAACAAAAAAAAGTTTAATATTGAGTTCTTTTCTTTGAAAAAATGTAGCAGAAAATGTTTCAGACTTTAGACAGCTTGTTCGTCCTTACACACATTTGACTAATAGGTTCTTTTATTAATATATTTGTTTAAGCTCTTCTACATAAAAGTTTGTGGTGTCCTATAGCATTGAGTCTACAAAGATATTTAGCTGTGATAAGAAGTCGATAGAGTCTCCATTTTGCCATTTAGTAATCTGTGCAAAGACAAAACAGACGAATGACTACCACGGTTCTCTGATGTTTGAAAATTGAATCAGTTCAGAAGCATTACATAATCACTGCCTCTTCGTGGATATCCCATTTAAACTTGAAACATAAATACTTCAGAAGTTTTTCTGGAACCTTCTCGATAGCTGTTATATAAATATCGTAAATTGGGTTCCATGCTAGTGGACAGTACAGTATATTCAGATAAGAGATAGACCGGATGTAAACAAAAGGTTCGGGTGATTTTCACGCTAACGCCGCAATCTCGACGTAAAACAGGAGCCCTCATTGATCAATTCGCAATTAAATGCCTATGCCGAGCGGCAGAGCAGTCGTATCAAGGCAGAGTCACATTCAGGTTCAGACGTGTTACGTATGTCGTGTGCATCATTGCAATTTGATATTTCTTTGGACGTTTTCGTTTGTTATCTTATTAAGTTGTTGAGTTTGTCGTTGTTATTGTTATACCTTGTTATTGATTGTTATTGTTATCAACTGCTTGCGCAAAATGCCCAGTAGTACAGATACTGCCGATGAAGTTGTAAACTCCTATAGTCCACCTAGGAAACGCTCTAAAAAAGACACCTGAGTGCAGAAATGAAAGAGGTCATTTTCAATATATATATAAGATCGAGCGCGAGGAGAACGAGGCATCAACCATCAAAGAAATTGTTGTGAAGGTTTCTCACAAAGTTGGGGTGTGTCGCGCATCAGTGTTTAATGTGTTAAGACAATACAAAAAAGAATCACACCTTTTCTGAGCCAATGCGTTACTGAAACATTTAAATTTCAAATGGAAAAAACGGGGTCGTAATAGTTTACTACTGGATAGAGAAGAAATTGTGCTATGGAGGAGGGATTATTTAACAAAAATTGGGAAATATAGAAATCAAAACAGGAAGATTTATTACCTTGATGAAACGTGAGTAAACGCAGGACACACTACAAGTAAAGTATGGGTTGATGATTCTGTAACTTCATCCAGAAGGGCCTTTCTAGATGGAATGTCCACCGGATTAAAAAATCCAGCAGGTAAATACGAGTAATAGACAACAATCGGATGTTTTTCAAACCTTGGGAACAAGGTTCTAAACATTAATTCCAGGGGGCAGATAAAACATATTACAAGTAACAAAACTTTTATAACTTTCGATAAAATGCGTGGATGTTTTATTGTCATTTTCATTTGTTAGAACTTTTTTAAGCCATGCTTCTATGTGTTTTCGATATTTC